CCCTAAACCCTAAACCCGAAGTTCTGGGCGGATCCTCTCTGTCGAAGATTTTGAGAAGGCATCCTCGGAACGTCGAGAGGTCCATGCCTGGAGCGAAGTCTCGCAGATTGAGATTTGGGGTTTAGGGTTCAGGGTTTAGGTTTTAGGGTTCAGGATTTAGGGTTGAGGGTTCAGGTTCGGGGTTTAGGGTTTAGGGTTTAGGGTCTAGGGTCTAGGGTTTAGGGTTTCGGGTTCAAGAAGTGTTCCCTAAGGATGCGGTTGCCGTACAACCTGAACCCCTGAGGTGTAAGCCAAGAGCTTCAAGCTTATACCAGAGAACATGAATATTCAAGCAAACTAACCCCTATCTTCTACTTGGAGGGTCGGAGGACTTAGGAAGTAGGTAATAAGCAGAGTTATAAGTGCCCTAAATGGGATCCTAACTGGGGTTATGGTACTTATAACACTATAAAAGTAACTGCTTACTAAGTCCCCCGACTTTTCAAGTAGACCCTCAGAGTATTAGCAGGGCCCCTTGGTTATATGAGTTTGGAATGAGGCCTCTTAAGATTGTGACCTTCACTAGTGCAGGTCTCAATCAGTGGAGTCTCTGTTACCCTAACCTGCACCCTCAACCCTAAACCTCAAACCCGAAACTACACAAATCCAAAGAAACAACACAATTCCAAAGTGCTAAACCTAAGCGTAAAAGTCCAAAGCCTTATCCTGACCCCTAAGCTGAATCCTTGTAGAGCCCTTACACCCTTGTAGAATCCTTGTCGAAACCCCATGAGCCGTCTATTCAACCCATACAGAATCCTCATTTAATCTTTGTGGACCTGATACCCTAAACTCCAAACCCGTTAAACCCTTTAGCCTTAATTAAACCCTAAACCCTAATCAAACCCAATGCTTTGACGTGAATTTTGGTTCTGGGCTACTCGCAAGCCCTGGAAAGCCTCCGCCAAAATCTGCAAACCCAGCCGCGAGGGTCGAATTTCGCGGTTCAGGGTTTAGGGCTTAGGGTTTCTGGTTTAGGGTTTAAGGTTTCGGGTTAGGGTTAGAATTTTGGTTAAAGGTTTCGGGTTTTGGGTTGTGGGTTTCGGGTTTCGGGTTCAGGGTTTAGGGTTTCGGGTTTAGGGCTTAGGGCTTCTCAGCCCCGACCCGCCAAAAGAGGCAAACACTGCAGCGAATGAAAGAACTTCACCTCGTCAGCAAGGCGTCTAGCCAAGACCCGCCAACAGAGGCAAACAAAACAGCGCGAAAGCCTGAACACGTTCTCCCATACACCTTCAATCCTAGACCCCACACCCTGAAATCCAAACCCTAAACCCCTAAACCTAAATCCCTAAACCCTAAACCCTAAACCCCTAACCCTAAACCCTAAACCCTAAACCCCTACACCCTGAACCCAACATCTGGCCTCCGTTCTTCTCGGACCACGCAGCACTCTGGAGCGTGTCAAGCGCAAACTTCACCTGCCGCGACCCTCTCAGCAGTCTACTCTACCACTGGCCCTTTCGGGTTGAGGGGTTTAGAAACCTTAAAGTCCCTAACCCCTAAACCCTATCTACTCTACCATTGATGCGTTCGGGGTGAGGGGTCTAGGAACCTTGAGACAACGGCCCTAAACCCAGAACAAACCCTAGAACGTTGGGGCTTAGGGCTTTTTGGAACTTTAGGGTTTCGGGCCCAGCCCTAGGGTTCAGGGTTTAGGAACCTTAGGGTTTATTCAAATGTCTCGGTGCCCCTGAACCCTGAACCCCAAGCAAAAATCCTAAATCCTACAGACCCTAAACACCCCAAACCCTGAATACCGGTTCTGCTTGACCCTCAACCCGAAACCCTAAA